CTCCCAACCTTCTTCCGATAGCAAGACAATGTCAAGACAACCAGAGGCAAGAGCGTGCGCAGTGGCGTACAAAGCTAAACCAACCTTATACGCGCGCCACACACGACCTGGTTCCTTCGTCAGAGGACTGGAAGGGCTAGAGTGAAAGAAGGCTCATCTCAAGAGCAGGGAGGAAGGAGACATCTAATTATATGCATAATTAGTAGGCGTGGCTGTGACACCTCCGTGGTAGAACAGCCAACATGACTTGGGAGTATCTACGTTTCCCTTCTGTCTAGTAGCAAACGGGTCTGACTGTGTCCCACAGACTCCCCTAGAGTACAGACTATGTAAACTGGTTGAAACTTGGAACAGGTGCCGTCTCAGCCCAAGCTAGAGATGTCGTTCCCCAACGTTATCTACTTAGGTCTCTAGAGGCGACTTACCTTTCAAAGTGCCAAATCTACAGGGACAGAAAGTTAACTGAGTTTTAAACGTACGTTCGTACTATGACACACTATTGCTAAGTTGACCGCCACCATAGTGAAAGAAAACGAAGTCTTCCGGCTGAGAGTGGACATACCTTGAAGCGTTGTTCGGCTTTAGCCACAAGGTCCATAGTATGTTGTAATTCCTTCTCCAGCATGCTAGCCAAGTCCTCCTCGTTAACATCCTTTATTTGTGGTTGACATTGGGCTAAGAGGTGCTCCATTTCAGTTAAGCTAGTCTTTAGAGCCTCAGCATGTGTCCGGACGACGTTCAGTCGCCACTCACCGAAATCGCCAGCCAGGTTAGTGAATACGCCAGTTCCGTCTTCCGTACAGGATTTGCAGAGCGCTGATAGAGCTGCAAGGGAGTCAAGAAACGGATTTATATGGGACAATAAAAGGAAAAGTGAAATGAACACGGCTGTCAGGTACCGAAGGAGTTGTGGCAATAACAAACGGTAAAGGATGCGATGGTTACAAGATTCACATGATGGCAACATTAAATTCCGCTTTGTTTACAATGTTGGCCTCGGCGAAAAACACTGTGAGAAGGGGTGACTTGTTGGCAGTGGGGCGCTATACCCAATTGATACCGACAGGATAACGAGCTAAGGGCGACATGGTTAGTGCGTTGCACCTTTAATTAACAGGTCGTGAGTTCGAGGTTCAGGTGTTCCAACACCCGAGGTTAGGTATGGCTGGCTGATGAAGGCTAACAAGCCAGAACTTATCCTTCCAGGCTCTCTTACGTTTGTAAGTAATGTCCTTCTGACGATACTACTAGTCGCCGTGCGGCTGCTGGCGGAGTTCGAGCGTAATTCCCCAAGGCACAACGTGAGATGTGTTTTGTAACACGAGCGCTCCACTACTACGATATGGTTAATGCGTTTCACTTTTAATTAACAGGTCGTGAGTTCGAGGTTCAGGTGTTCCAACACCCGAGGTTAGGTATGGCTGGCTGATGAAGGCTAACAAGCCAGAAATTATCATTCCAGGCTCTCTTACCTTTGTAAGTAATGTCCTTCTAACTATGTTACTCGTCGCCGTGCGGCTGCTGGCGGAGCCCGAGCGTGAGTCCCCAAGGCACAACGCGAAGTGTGTTTTGTGACACGACGAGTGAGTGCTCCACCACTACTATTAATATACCGACAGGATAACATGGCGCAATGGATGGCGTGTTGGGCGTCTACTCAACAAGTTGCGAGTTCGAACCCCAGTTATTGCAAAACCTGGGGTTGGGTCGGGTTGGCTGATGATGGTTAATAAGCCAGAAATGGCGATTCCATTCTCCCCTGTCTTCGGCCGTCATGGCTTCCTTTCTAAAACATTATTCAAATATCTGTGAAGCATCCTTCCCCTGGTGCGAAGTAAAAGCATACAGGTGTTGCAGAATTTATTGGAACCAAGAAATTTCGCAACAACTACTCGTGATCTGCAGCTTAACATTGGGAACGAATGAGAGAATACAAAAAGTAAATTCGTACAGAACAAAAAAATCGATGCAAAACAACGACAAAACCATTGTAGGTGACGTAGTTCGGCAAAAACTAATTGAACTGTCTTTTTGACCGGAAGGTAGGGGCTATAGTATCGTGCGACAAAGCTCCCGGAGATATATCTGCCACGCCAGGAGGTCGACCTTTGAATGCGCATTTTTCCGGCCGCCTGCAAACGGCGCGCCTGTTAAACACAGCGGTAAGAAACCGTAGAAAGAAGCCCTCCCGCCCCTAGGTAACTCAGGTGATCGCATTAATTATGTCAGAAATTCAGTTACTAGGCTTCCGAGATGTCACCTCCTGGATGTCACATGGGGAGTCGAAGACCCGGTCACAAGCATAGTAAAGCAACGTTCAGGATCGAAGAACATGGGGTTCTGAAATAGTATAAAGTCATGTCTGCTTAGAGAATAGAAATTCCGCATAAATTACTGGAGATAAAAATGCTTCTACAAAAAGGATCACCAAGGCCACCGCGGAGAAGCGTTACACAATATCTTGAATTCGTGGCTTTCAAACGTACAGAAAATACCAGTCTCGGTTAGGATAAGAACGAGAGTGATGAACCAATGGCATACACAAACGGGCAGAAAGGTCCAATCAGGGGCTTTCAATGACAACAAAGAAGGCAACAACTATAGTAATCTTTTAAACGACGGGAAAAATGAGTTTACTGCAAAAAGCTAGCAGACAGCGTGCTTCTGAGTCTCAGTACCTTCAATGTCCGAATCGCAAGTGCAATTCAAATTAATATGTTCTTGCAGACAGAGCACGTTTTGTGAACAAAGACATTCTTTTTTATTTTACCAGAAACTGAAATGGAATACAAAATCCAACAGAGTTTATATAGCAAAGTACTTTGAAAGAGGACCGGAAATTAATCGGCAGGGCGAAATAGGGGAAGGCAGAAACCAACACGCTGGAATTTCTATTGTCAACCTGTAATTACTTTTTATTAAAGTGCCGAGACCGCCAAGACATCTAGAAAGGGGTGAAATACATTCGAAATGGAAGACACAGAGGCTGCGGGTTCACGTTCGATTATCGGCTGGTGTTGACTGCCGTCAAGGCTAGGGGATTTGCATTGTAAATTTTTGTTAAAACAACTACCAGGTCGAAAGTGGAATATGATTAGAACTGCATAAGTGTCAACACCACAATGAGAATTCAATCGGTGGGTCATTCAAATTCGAAAAAAGGGGGTTGGCGGTTCAAGGCCGTCTCGTGGAAGAGGCTATTTCTCCGTGTGGGTATGTGTCTCACAAAGTTACATCAGTGACGCCATACAGACAAACCTGACCGAAAGAAAACTTTGTTCCTCATGTTCGTTAGATTAAAACGTGCGGTTGGTAAAGCCCAATGAAATTCGTTCGCAATAACTCAAAGGTGCGCCTTATCTACGTAAAGACCACTTCAGGGCAATAACTAAGACTTACACTCAAATAAAAAAGCAACAAAAATATTCGACGGATCATAAACGCGAACGCCCCTGTAAATAGTGTGATGTTGATGCGAACCCGTAACCGCGCGAGCTTCCTGAAGGGCTAAACAACGAAGCAGGTGTCAACTTGTAAGATGGATAAAACAGTGAGTTGAGTTGATAGTTCTCTACCAATCCCTACCGCGTTGCCAATCATACTAACAAGACTCACATGTCCAACGGTATGCGCCATACTGGCGGTACAACGGTATCACGTGCACTCGTCTTGATGGATGTATGGTAAATTACAGGAAAGAGGCGAGTCAGATGGCGAAAACAGCGCAACACGCACTAGAATCGAGTGAGACCACTTGCTTGTGCGCTCCCACCGAAAAAAATGTTCTGCAAGGGCATGGAGTAAGAGAAGCTGGCATTTACGGCAAGATATAAAGGCAAGAACCAAGTCAGCGGATCCAAAAGTTACGTTTCGTGACTCTCTCTCCCCCACTACTCTGGTTAATTCCGACAACGTTGCACCGCAAACGAAGACGTACAACTTGTCCAAGGCAATAGCAGAGTTGCAGTTCCGAAGTAAACCCAGATATAGAAGTTACGCATGTAAATTTTATAGAACATTTTGGAACGCTGTCACTCCTGTTTTCGCTAGCTAGGTCTACGTTCGACAACACGAGATACATGGAAGGCCTAGCGAGGTCTTTTACATTGCCATAACATACCCAATTCGCAAAACCACCCTCAAAGCTGCAAACGCTGGGCATCAGATACGGCAGCATGTGCATTGACCAATTGTCCAAAAGCAAGATGAGCTTGGTTATAAACTAAGCTCTCCGTTTGGGACGTAGTTGGTCGTTTTACATGTTGCGTAAAGATGGAGAGCCTGGAATGAGAGACGCCGTTTGGAGAAGCTCCTAAGAGCGTCTCCTACGTGTCTAAATACAGCCAGGCACACTGTACTCAAAGAAACCTGATCTAGAACTGCAGAGAAAATGCCTACACGTTGAATGTGAACAGTGCTGCGAGTGTGAGTGTGTCCATTGGAGACTCCTGCCGGTATCAAAGCTTCCACAAATGGAATAGTGGACATACCTCAAAACTTCGGTCTATCATTTTGGCCTCAACTACAGATATTACCCCTAAGCTACGCGAAACTGCTTGCAGATACATGTGTCTGCGCCTACTGAAAGTTACAGTGGTCGATGAAGGAATCAACCTTCGAGTGCGGTTAGAGCACTTTGGGCTCGTTATAGTTGAGAGATACATTGGTTAGGGATTTCGTCCCTGCCGTACATGGTCAAATGCATCAAGTTAGTGTGTGTTTATTGGGTAAGAGGACAATACAAGCGGCTCCCACAAGACATAAAAGGTCGCCCTGGCTGTGCCCGAAACTCAGTTCTAGAGAACTCTAGAACTCGATAACATTATCAATCCATCTTTAATGACTGTATCCTCTCCTAAGAACGTGTCGTTATTTCACTAAAACTACGAGAAAGGGTCCTTAGGCAGTTTAACAATAGGCATCTGGAATCTAACTGCATGAACGCGGTTACTGGCCTCACACGGACCAACAAACGAAACAGTTGGTGCGCTCATCCTTCGAAGACGCCCTTGCGTCATAGGCGCCAACGAAGACCAAACTCGAGGCATGATCTGCCGCACAAGCCCTTTGGTCCAGGGCCCGCAACGATTATGCAAAACAGGAAAACGACCGAAAGTCTTCCAAATGGGACGCAGGACAGCTGGAATCACAAGT